TGATTGGGGATGGTCTCCTGGATAGTATCCTGAAGAGTGTTTTTCTACTTGGTTTCATTCTCCCAGTCACTTTCAGGTATACCAATCAAATGTAGGTTTGGTCTTTTCATATAATCCCATATTTCTTGGAGGCTTTGTTCATTTCTTTTCATGCTTTTTTTCTCTAATCTTGCCTTCTGGTTTTATTTCATTGAGTTGATCTTAAATCTCTGATATCCTTTCTTCCACTTGATCAATTTGGCTATTGAAACTTGAGTATGCTTCATGAAGTTCTCGTGCTGTATTTTTCAGCTCCATCAAGCTGTTTACAATCTTCTCTATGCTGGTTATTCTAGTTAGCACTTCATCTAACCTTTTCTCAAGGTTCTTAGTTTCCTTACATTGGGTTAAAACATGCTTCATTAGCTTGGAGAAGTTTGTTATTACACACTTTCTAAAGCCTGCTTTTGTCAATTCATCAAACTCATTCTCCCACCAGTTTTGTTCCCTTGCTGGTGAGGAGTTGTGATCCCTTGGAAGAGAAGAGGCTTTTTTGTTTTTGGCAATTTCAGCCTTTTTGCGCTTGTTTATTCCCATCTTCATAGATTTATCTACCATTGGTCTTTCAAATTGGTGACTTTTAGATGGGATCTCTGAGTGGATGTCCTTTCTGTTGATGTTGACGCTATTTCTTTCTATTTGTTAGTTTTCCTTCTAATAGGCACCTCTGCTGCAGGTCTGCTAGAGTTTTCTGGAGTTTCCCTGCTTGCCTGGGAATCACCTGCCCAGCTGCAGAACAGCAAATATTGCTGCCTGTTCCTTCCTTTGGTAGCTTAATCCCAGAAGAGTACCTTGCAGATGTCAGAGAGAGCTCTCCTGTATGAGGGTCTCCCAGTCAGGATACACAGGGTCAGGGAGGCACTTCTCGAGGCAGTCTTTCCCTTATCAGAGCTCAGTTGCCATGCTGGGAGATCTGTTGCTCCTTTTGGAGCTGCCAGGCAGGGACATTAAGTCTGCTGAAGTGAAACCCACAACTGCCCCTTTTCCCAGGTGTTTTGTCCCAAGAAGGTGGGGGCTTTGTTGATAAGTCCCTGATGGGCTGCTGCCTTTTTTAAGAGATGCCCTGTCCAGCAAGAAGTGAGTCTAGTTGACAGTCTTCCTGAAGAGGCCTTGCTGAGCTGCTGTAGGCTCCACCATTTGTTGTATAAACTTTCTGGTGATTTTATTTACACAGGTGAGGTTAAAATCACCTACCCGAACTTCAGCAATTGTGGATGCCACTCCCTACACTGAGCTCAACAATCTCAGGACGAGCTCAACAGTCTCAGGACAAGCTCAGACTGCTGTGCTGGCTGCAACAATTTCAAGCCAATGGATCTTAGCTTCTGGTCTTCATAGGGGTGAGACCCCCAGAGCCAGATTGCTTGGCTCCCTGGCTTCAGGCCCTTTTTCAGGAAAATGAGCAGTTCTGTCTTGCTGGCATTTCAGGTGCCTCTGGGGTATAAGGAAAAAAACATCTTCTGCAGCTAAAATGGCCACCAGGTTTTGTGTTGGAAATCTGGGGCACTGGTGTTGTAGACACCAGAGGGAGTCTCCTGGTTTGCAGGTTGTGAAGACCAAAGGAAAAGCACAGTATCGAGCCAGAGTGCCAGAGTGTTGGGAAACATCCTTCCCAAATGGCTTTTCTTGGCTAAGAGAGGGTGTTCTCCAGCCACTTGTGCTTCCCTGGTGAGAAGACACCCCACCCTACTTTGGCTTGCCCTCCTTGGGCTGCACCCACTATCTAACCAGAGCGAGCGAGATGAACCTGGTACCTCTGTTGGAAACGTGGAGATCACTTGCCTTCTGTATTGTTCTTGCTGATAACTGCAGACTGGAGCTGTTACTATATGGCCATCTTGGTGGAAATCCCCTAGGAAGGTATTATCATTGTCATTCTTATTTAAATGTAATGGATAAGGATACTGAGGCACAAGAGGTTGAATAACTGGCTGAGATGGTTTGGATGTTTGTCCCCTGCAAATCTCATGCTGAAATGTGATCCCAGTGTTGGATGTATGTGGACCCTGGTGGAAAGTGTTTGGTCATGGAGACAAATCCCTTGTGGATGGCTTGGTGCCTTCCCATAGTAATGAGTTACCATGAGAGCTGATTGTTTACATAGAGTCTGAGACCCCCCCAACCCACACCCTATCTCTCTTGTGTCTCTCACCATGTGTTGCACGGGTTTCCCTATCTTTCTGCCATGACTGAAAGGTTCCCGAGGCTCACCAAAAACTGAACAGATGCTGTCACCATCCTTGTACAGCCTGCAGAACTGTGAGCCAACAGCTGGCTATGTAGTATCTTAATAAATTGTCTCAGGCTGTGATATTAGCCACTTAGAATGAACTTTCAAGATTAAACTCTTTTCCCTCTGATTCAAGCTAATTTTTTAACATATAGTTTTAACATTTGTAAAACTCCTTTTACAAATGTATGTCATGATTGTATGTTTTGTGAATTTGTATTTTGATTTATGCAATGTTAAAACTGGTCAGAGGTGGTTAAAATAGGGGAACCATCCACCCATAGGTTAGGGCTTGAGTGAAAATGAGAAACAGCTGTAAGTGTCCCACTAAATAGTTTCCTTATAAATATCCATTGGAATTATACAAGAAAAAAGCCAAAAAAGAAAAAAAAGAAAAAGACTGAGAAGCTTGATGTACCAAATGGCTGTAGAAATGGACTACAACACAATTCTTACCAGGTATAAATGGTGAGTAAAGAAATGTTAGGAAGGCAATTTTCACCTATAATCAACTATCAATTGATTGTGCATGAAAACCAATGAATTTATAAACTATGAAAATTAACTATTGCCTCTGTAATGAGTGAAAATGGTATATTAATTTATTCATTTATCCATTCATTTGAAAATTATTAAGAATGTGATATATGATAGGCACTGTAGTTTCAGTAACCTATGAAATATTAGTGAGACACAAAATAAACAAAGAAACACATGGATAAACAAAATACCTAAAGATTGTGTTAGGTTCCATAGGAGATATAAGCAGAAGTTATGGTAAAGATACATTCAGAGGTGGGAAATCTATTCTAGATAGAATGATCCAGAAACAACTCTCCCAGTGTGCAACATTTCATAGGAGACCTAAAATATAAGAACCATGGGAAGTGGTCCAGGCAGTGGTGGGAATGCATACAATGAATCTAAGACCAGACAACTTAATGTCTTCAAAGAATACAAAGAACCATGCAACTGAAGAAAAAGCCAGGAGCTGGGATGATGGGTAGACATTCAGACAAAATCCAAATCCTGTGGTGTCTTACAAACCAGAATAGTGAGTTTACATTTTATGCTAGCATGATAAAAAGCATTGAGATGTTTTAAATGGGAAAATGATGTTATCTGAATTATCTTTTAAAAGAATATTTTTCTGGATAAATTAGAAAGAGGAGCTTTAAAAATATTTAGACTACTAAAAGAATATTATAACAAAACAAGCTGAAGATAATTAGAGCTTGGACTAGAGAGTTGCAAGGGGAGAAAGGCCTGAATAGGTATATATTTTGGAAATGGTCCTGGAAAATTTGTTTATTTAGTAAATGTGGTTTTTAGAGAAAGAGAGGAATTAAAAATGCTTCTTAACTGGAGCAAATGATGGCGCCATTATAAAAATGGAAAATTACTGGATGAGAGAGCTCTAATTCAGATAATCTGATTAGTTGGTTGCTTGTTGCTTTATTTATTTATTTTTTTAGTACAGGATTTTTATTAACTCTTTAAAATATCATATCATCAGGATTTTGTTTCCAAACCTAGACAACTTTTAGGTTTTACTTACTAAACTGTTCCTTTTTCAGAGATGTAGATACCATACAAAATTTTTCTGATATTTCTGTTTTTAACTGTTGTGGCTTGCTGAATCAAAGCAGCTGAATTTGATATAAGTTCAATGACATTTTCTTCAAGAATTAACTCAATTTATCGGCTTTGTGATATGAAACAAGCAACACCCAGACCCACCTGAACCTTGTGGATGCATTTTTCACTAAGAAAGTTTGAATTTCAACAAGATACCCATTCTCCTGAATAATGACATTGATGGGAAAGTAAGCATGTACAGATCTCATCTTGTAATGAATGTTCATTGTAACGCCTTGATCATGCTCTGTGGATGGCCACAGATAATGTGCCCAGTAGCCAGTTTCTTTATATTTCTATGCCATTTGTCAAGCCGGAGTCTTGCCTCTTTTTTTTTTTTTCTTCCCGAGAGTTCTACATTCACATAATTAAAGTCCCTCCACAGAGTTTCTCGGGCTTCTTCAAAATAATTATGCCTCCCTTCAGAGTGTTGTCGACATTTTCTGGAATGCAGGCAGTCTGAACACTGAGTATGATCTTTATTCTTGCAGATGTGGCAAAAGGCTCAGGTGATCTGTTTTCAACACATTATGCTTGAATTACCCTAAGGAAGATGTCAAGACGACAGATAAATATGCCTGACCAAAGCTCAGAAGAAAAGAACCGAACAGAAGATACAAATTTGGAAGTCATTCGTGTATAAGAAAATATTAATGGTCATGAGAAAAGTAAAATCATCTAGTGTCAGCTGTTAGAAGTCAGCGGTAAGTCTCACATGTGGGAAAAAAAAACAAAAAACAAAAAATCTTTGGAGGATACAACCTGAAACTTAAACTATGTTTGCTTAAACAGGAGCAAACTATACAAAATTTAGGTTTAGTTTCTTGATTCACTTACGCCTGAAATTCATTCTGAGGCAGAATTGGGAATTAGTGTAACCCGGGGTTAAGTCATCAACAAAACAACAGCAGGTGCAACCTGTTCTTGGCAAGACTGGGCGCATACAGGCCACACCCTCGCTCCTGTGATAAGGAGACAGAAGTTTCCACTTCAGCCTCTGATTGACTGTGGGCCAAGCATCCGCTTCAGCCTCTAATTGGTCCTAGGGCGTAACCAATTGGGGGCCTTTAAAGACGTCTGCTGCTAAGTTCTTTCGATTTTGTAAAAAAAAAACCCCGGGAGCGTTGCCGTCAGGAGATCTTGAGCCGTTTGCTTGAGCTCTGCTTCTTTCTGAATTATCTTGAGTAAGTCTGTGGTTTCTTTACTCAGTTCTTTTGTTGCTGTGTCTATCTTTCTTTGCTTTCTTTTTTTGCTACTTTGTGAGTTTTGTTTAATTCCGTGTTCAACATGCTGGACTTGGACAACTCTTTTCAGTAACAGTTTCTTTTAGTTACATAACACCTTTTTCATTGTTCAGATAAGCTTCTTTAATTCTGTATTTTTCTATTTTCAAGAATGAATTAGCATGTTAGTGATTTTGGTGATTTATAGGAAGATATCATTGAAACACTTCATAAACGACAGAGCCAAAGTTTTGACAAAAGTGTGACTAAGGGGTTGAAAGGCAGTTTCACAAAAATTCAGTTTAAGGTAATTGATCTGGAACTTTAGAAACTTAACATATATGAATATCTACAGTGCAGCTGAAACAATCGCTAAGTTAGAAAATACAGAATATTTATCTCTGTAATAAATTTTATCCTAAAATGTTGGAGGTTTTAAATGTAAAAGCTAAACTTCAAGTAACTGTGTGATGCAGATACTTAAAATTCAAATTAAGTGGTCTGGAAACCAGTTTGAAGTCAGCCAAACCTGGGTAGTAACCTAGGCTATCCCAGTAATGTGACTTTGGAGTCTTCATGTCTTTGTAACTTGTCAAATTGCCTAATGGTAGAGTAGGCAGATAACCAGGTATGAGCAGGGGAGGGAAGCTCCTGAGAAAGGGGTGGTCTGGAAAAATCTCACAGTCCAGGGACCATCTGAAACCTGAATTCTACTAGATGTGAACAGAGGAGAAGAAATTCCTCTGAGGAAAGGAATGCGCATTAAGATGCCCAATAATCATTCGCTCTGCGTTTTACCCGTCAGAATCGAGCTAGCTACATGCCTAACGAGAGGTAAAAGGCAAAGAAGAAAGTTTCAAAGAATAATGCAAGTGTCATATGTATCTGACACCAGACCTGTGCATGCACACAGATGATAGTAAGGGAGGGTCCCACAAGCCTGCATTGGGAAGTTGGTGTGGGGAAAGAAAGGGGACTTAGGGCAGGTGTAGAAAAACTAGACGAAGTAAAAAGGCAGAGGCTTAAGACAGAAGTGAGAACTTAAAAAATTCGACATCATGAAAACCCAATGTGGAACTCTCAGGGGCTGCTGCTGGCCCATTCCCTTCCAGCAGCTGGCTCTGACTCATCTTTTCAGAGTGTACTGTTGCTTTAAACAAACTCTCTGCCCTCTACTTTCCTTCAATTCTCCGTTTATGGCTAACTCAATCACTTGGTAGAATTCTTGTTCCTAGTAAGACTAAGGATTCCCACACTTCCTGGTAGCAATAATACAGAATACAAAGAATTGAACTTTTATTTCTCCACATTAATATTTTTCTATGTTACTAAGCATATTAGAAAATTTTAATTTCAGAATAGTTCATTTATAGAAGTTCTAGATTAATTTATTACTATTATCCTCTTGTTGGGTATTTAGAATCTTTTTATTTCATATATTTTTAATGTATCATTTGTTGTGACTCTTAGCCCAACGTATTAGGCAGAAATTCTATATTCCCCTAGTCTCTTCACTTGCCTCCTCAGTGGATATTGCTTACCCTCTACTCTCATCTCATACCTTCAAGACGTCTTTCTCCTCAGCTTTTTGACTTTCTTAGGCTAAAAAGAAAAAAAAACTGTTTAGAAAGTAATCAGAAGAGACTATCCCCAGCTGCTTGCTAGACTCCTATTTACTCACCTGTTTCTATATTGCCTATATACTCAGCTTTTCCTTCTCTTTGATGGATCAACCTGTGTTCTCATTGAAGGACATCCCTTCCACTCGTGCACCTGCTGAAACGCATTGCTGTTTTTTTCCTTTGTGAGGTATTATCCTTTCACCTTTTGACCAAATTATTCCAGTAGCATCAACCATCTTGCTACGTATGTTATCTGAAAAATAAATTTGAAAAGAATTTACAATACCATGTTCTTTTGCTACATTCTACTCTCTTCTTCATAGAAAAACTTTGAGACAAATTTCTTTGAGCCATCTTGAGCTTTTCTTCTCAGATTCTCTTGAAGTCATTGCTATCAGGCTTTTGCCCCATATGCCTCTAAGATGTCCCTCAAAATTATCAATGATTTCCATTCACATTGTTCTAAGCTGGTAATAAATTTTCCATCCCAATCTTACCTGAAAAAGCAGCAGCACTTCACTGATCATCTCATTTTTGAGACATCAAAGATTTCATGTGCTCGTGTCTATCTCCTTATTTAGCTGCTCTTTATGATTGTATTTTGCTGTTTTTACCATATCTGCATGACTCCAAACTCTGGAAAGCCTAAAGCCTCAGGTCTAACCTCTGAACCTCTCCTTCAACATCAGTCACCTGAGATCTCACCCATGATTTGTAATACCACCTACATGCGTAAAAACTCTCAAATTTGTATCACTAGCCAAGATCTTTCTGCTGAACTCTAGACTTAGATATGCAACTGTGTACTATACCTATTTGTTGGGATGTGTTGACTATCTCAAGACTGAAATCATGATCTCAACCTCCAAACATGCTCTTTCTACAGTCTTTCAGCTAAGTAAATGGCAGGTCTGTCTTCCCATTGCTCAGCTGAAAGTCATTTTTATCTTTTCTTTTCTTTTTTTATTCTTTTTTTTTTTTTTTTTTTTTTTTTTTTTTTGAGACAGAGTTTAGCTCTTGTTACCCAGGCTGGAGTGCAGTGGCACGATCTCGGCTCACTGCAAACTCCGCCTCCTGGGCTCAAGCAATTCTCCTGCCTCAGCCTCCCGAGTAGCTGGGACTACAGGCATGCACCACCATGCCCAGCTAATTTTTGTATTTTTAGTAGAGACGGGGTTTCACCTTGTTGACCAGGATGGTCTCGATCTCTTGACCTCATGATCCACCCGCCTCGGCCTCCCAAAGTGCTGGGATTATAGCCATGAGCCACTGTGCCCCGCCTATCTTTTCTTTTATACTTTTCCTCTGTTGGCATATTTGTTGGCTGTACTTTCAAAATATGCAGCCTCTAAATATTATCACTTCTACTAACTTAATATAATCTACCATTATATCTCAGTTGGATTATTGCGATAGCTTTTTAATTCAGAGATGTTCAAACTTAGATCTAAGGTTGTTTAAAATAAAATAAGCCACAGGATCTTCATTGCAACTACTTAATTCTGCCACAATGTGAAAACTGCCATCAAGACTATGCATTGAATGAGCAGGTCTGTGTCCCGATAAGGTTTCATTTACCAGAACAGGCAGGCAAGATTAGATCCTTGTACTGGAGCTTGCCAGTATGTGCTCTAGTTCATCTCCCTGTGTCAACTTTTCTTCCTGGTGGTTGCTCTCAACACAAGAGTCACCATGGCCGTTTTGAAATGTTAGCACATGATGCCTCTACTCAAAATGTCCTGCGCTCCTCAGTTCACTCAAAGTAAAACCCAGAATCCGTAATATGGCATTCTGAGCCTCTAAGGAGTATGTTTCCCCAGTTATCTCCCTGTATTCCAGATACACTGGCTTTTCTGTTATTCAAATTTGCCACATGCATCAGGACATTTGTTCTGTCTGTTGGGAGAACTCAGAACAGCCCATAAAACTGCAGAGCTCATTCTCCACATTCCTTAGGTCCTTGATCATGTGTCAGATTTTCAGTGAGACTATCCAGCTGAGGCCATGATTATAGGCCATGATTATATCTCAGTTGGATTCTTGCAACTGAGATATAATCATGGCCTATATCAAGTTAGTATCCTAAATAAATAGGTATAAAATAGAGGAGCACCCAGATACATAAGCAAGTTCTTAATTACCTACAGAGGCTTAGACTCCCACATAATAATAGTGGGAGACTTTAACATCCCATTGTTTCTAGATCAGTAAGACAAAATAAACAATGACGGTCTTGAACTCAGATCTGGACAAGCAGACTTTAATAGACATCTACAGAACTCTCCGCCCCAAATCCACAGAATATACATTCCTCTCAGCACCACATCGCACTTATTCTAAAATTTACCACATACTTGGAAGTAAAACACTCCTTAGCAAATGCAAAAGAACAGAAATCATAACAGTCTCTCAGACCACAGAGCACTCAAATTAGAACTGAGGATTAACTCATTCACAACTGCACAACTACATGGAAACTGAACAACCTGCTCCTGAATGAATACTGGGTAAATGATGAAATGAAAGCAGAAATAAAGATGATCTTCAAAACCAATGAGTACAAAGATAAACATACCAGAATATCTTGGATACGTTTAAAGCAGTGTGTCCCTTGGAGCAAAGGCTGTGCTCCAAGTATTGTATTTAACACATTGCCTTGGTCTAGGGGGAGGGCAAGTGATGGGTCTCATGCAAGTAATGTGTCTCATGCGAGAGGGCCCCAAATCACTGCCCACACAAGTGTTTGGGTTTGCCAGAACAGAGGAGCTCTCCAAGAGTTGGGATATAGGCAGTCTGCCACAGAAGCAAGGGGAGCCAACAACACTCTAACATACCTTTTCAACAACATACCAAGTCCCTTGAGGTTCCTAGCTAATCTCTTATAGCTTCTTGTTTCTTTTTCTGTGCCCTGGCTTTCTGTGAGTTTCTACTACATTGTGGTACCCTCCCCTTGGCATTTATTCAATTTATGATTATTCAGCTGCAACTTTGTTTTGTTAATGAGAAGTGGTGTCTGAAGTCTCCAGTCGGCCATCTTGACAAATACCTCATGACAGGTAACTTTTTGATAGGGGAAGGATTGGGACTGAGTTACTTGACAAGGTTGAGTAAGCCAACCTTAAGTCTATTCCAGGACTACGTTACCTGAAGTGCATTAGATCTTAAAAGGGCAACATCTGCTTTTGGATACCTGAATCTTTTCAGAGGCTGGGTAAACAGTAACTTTCAATTGTCAATATTCTTAAAGCAAATGTATACTAAATCATTTACAGTTTTTTAACCACAGTTGAACATTGCAGCAGGTGACTGCAAGTTGTCTTTCTATCCATGTGTTGTAGA